GGACCTGGCAGCGCAAAAAGTTAGCTTGTTTTGAACATGAGGAATCTTCTACGTCTCACATACGGGCGCAGACAGGGAAAGAGCACAAGGGGCACGTGACCCCTTTGGTCCATCGGGATCCAGAGGGTCACTCGAGATTCAGACGGTCCCTCAGGATTGACAATCAACAGGCCCGATTACAGGGCTCGAAGGGCCGAAGGGCTGGCCGAAGGTCTCCAGTCCGAAGGACCGGGACCCTCTGATGTCAGAGTGCCTCCGCCGGTGAGAGGCCCCTCTAAAAAAGCCCCTCACTTTGGTCGAGATCACCAATAATCGGCCCTTTGTCGGACTGAGGCCCATTTTCCTAGCATGGACAAAGTTTGGGCCCACGAATGACATTCAGAACACCTCACAAGTCGCTTTGTTCGGAGTTTCCTTGTCGGGCAGGACGCCCTCTGATCACAGTGCATACATAATAAGAAATTCTGTGCTCCTCGAGCCGACCAGAGGCTCATTTGGTACTCATCACAGCCCACCACAGGCCTTCTCCGTTGGTTCGGGCCCTCTGAGAACGGCAGAAGATTGATGGCAGTGAAAGGGTGCATAATAAGTCAATGAGACAGTTGAAGAGCTCCGATTCTCACAGCAGGCCTCAGTGAGAACCGAGGAGCCCTATGCTCCGCTGCGACCAGTGGCTCGTTGAGTAGAACTGGGCCCCCTGTGCAAATTATTTGACCCTCTGTGCCGTAAGTGATCTTTTTGCATCAGCAGAAGCTACTGCTGTCGATCCCGCCGCAGCTGCTCCGGTCAAAAGACTGCCTGCGTCAGGGAAGGGACCGACATACAAGCCATTCCCGGAGTTCCTCGGAATGAATCAAAGGGCGCAATTCCCAAGTTGCGAGATGGCAGCTGGTGAATACATTGGGCTGGGAAGGAGAGGTTCTTCAGCCACTGACCGGAAAAGTAATACCCCTCCCCCTGACGTGCAACAATCTACTAGTGTAGTGCAGGGCGCTATGCACCAGTATATCTACCACCCTAGTGTACTACCCACGCCCTCCTCCGTCCCGAGTATCCGAAGGTCTCTTAACACACGCCCGGGCGGCCGGCTAGATACCCTTCGCTCGGATGGGGGGGTCAATTTGACCCCCTGAGATCTCGAGAACTAAGAAAGCTAGGGACACCAAATACACAAGGTATGTTGACCTGTACGTGAACTCACTCAGGTCGAAGTTTGGGATCCCTAAGTCATGACCGTCCGGTAAAACAAGGTTTAACAAGGTCAACTTCAAGGATTGTCTCCAAAGTGCTCCCAGATCCTAAATAACTGTTTCCAAGCAAAAGGTCACATGCTCATTTAAGGTCAGTGACATTGTTTGACCTTTTGAAAGTCACGGTGACCAAAATCATACAAGACTGCTCTGAGTTTTGCAGTTGAATAAGTGACAAAGATCACGCTGGGCAGTATGCTTCTAAAAACAAAATGCTCACCTGGGTCATTTAGATCAATGACCTATTCTGGCCTCTAAGAAGTTTATGGAAGATGTATAAGGTGGTTCCTGCTATCTATAAATTCGGAATGAGCACCACAAACTATCCCATACAGCAAGCCCGAGTAATAAAATAAGTTGGTTTTGACCTTGGTATGACCTCCATACATGACCTTAGGTCAACGTTGATTGCTTACCCGATATTTGTGTTGCCCAAGAAAGCATCTTCAGAGATGTATGGCTTCGTCTAACACCCCGCTGTTGCGTCAGATTGAACGTATCCCTAGAAATTGACCGCTAAAACCATGGCCTGACTTTGACCTACCATACGTCGACGACCCTACAATGTACATCTAAATTTGTTATGTCAAACGATCCGCTATTTATTTGTCACAGCTACGCAAATATTAGCGAGGCTACGTTGCGCCGCCCAAAAGCCATGCCGCAAAAACCTTTGGGGGGTCAATTAGACCCCCATCCGAGCGCTTGTTAAGTTTGTAAAAGTCATCGATGTTCTCTAAAAGCGCGAACGCCGGCAGAATCTGAATATAGGATGAAGAGAACTCGGTAAATTCCGGTAAACTTTTGAGGATTTTCGTAAGGAGCCTTTATTACGCTGTGTTCTCCCTTTTCAACTTGCCCGGACTCTCCTCTATACCACATCATTCTCCAACGCTTCACTTCCTCTCCTGGACTCTTTCTAAAAACATTTCTTCCTCTTTAAATGTCCACACAGCCCCAAACTTCGTTGTGTCCTCGAATATTTCCCGACAACTCCACATCTGTTTCCATTGTGTCGTTTTCAATGATCCCTTCTTTCAGAAAATAGGCAGATACACACCGAAGCACAATGCAACATGCGTCATGGCATTCTTTAGTAATTCCATGGTTCACATAAAATGTCGCATAGCCCGTACCGGCAACAAAGTACACTTAAACGACCACACACAAGTTGCACCTCTGAGCTGACTGTACACGGTCCATAACATTTTTATGAACACGAAACATGCCAACAAACTTGACCTGGCGGAAGAGATCGCTATGCCACGCCAAAGCTCCCAGCATCGCACCTGAGATAAACAGGCGTTTCCATAGCACAGGTGATGCTCTGCGGCGGTTTTTGATGCACAGCATCGGAGTCAGTCCGGTCACAATGACTTGGCTGCAGAGCATCAACGCTGGATACCCAGCGGTGTGCCCCAGTTTGAGATCAGTTAGTTTTCCGAAAGAGGCGGCACCTGATACACCTCGTCCCGCTGTGCGTGTGGGCCGCGCAAACTAGACTTTGGAATTCATAGACCGTAAGAATTATAAGATTTGTTAAGTCATGATTTGGCAAGATTTATGCAGCCCTTAATCGTGATACCACGAAAGTGACGATGATGTGCCGAAGACGGTGAAACTACGTCGGAGCTGGTGACATGATGGTGGTACTGACGACACCGCGCCGGATCTGTAGGCACGACAGAGCCGGCCACGACGGAGCCCGTGAACGGAAGGGCCCGTGCACCTGAAAAAACATTCAAATGCATCTGACATTCTAAGAGTGAAAACAGGGAGCCCTAACAGAACAGCACGCTCGGCAGACGATGCCATGGTAAACTTGAGTTCACTTTTAGTTAAACCAGGGAGATTACTTGCACTGTCTACACCATAAATCATTTCACATCTCAAAATGATTTCTAAACAGATGACTTGGGCCACCTTAGGACGTCCATGACACACGACAGAAAAGGTTTTGAAAATCCACATTCTTTCTCACTTTGCTAACCATGACAATATTGGGGTGAAACAAAATGTTGCAGCTTGTACCGTCGTGACAAACAGAGGATTCTCGACCACGGTTTGTCTTGTCCTCCAGCCAGAGCCGTTCACACCACACAAGACTCCCTACCTTAGGTTACCATTAGACGTCACAGGAGGCGAAATTCGTGTTGAGCTTAAAGGCTTTGGTAAACCCGTTTAAGATAAATAAGGAGGAAACTAAAAGTAATAACTAAATCAAATATAACCCACCAAATTCATTACACGTGACCGAAGAAGCAGAACAACCCATCAGATAAACTGACCTGGCCTGACATGACCTTATCCTGAACTGATATGACCTTCGTCTGAACTGACATGACCTTAGCCTGCACTGACGTGACCTTACCCTGAACTGACATGACATTTTAAAATTATAGTTTTCTGGTATGATCCTAACGGACAAGGATACGTTTGTTCGTTTCACATAGTCACGCAGTTCTACGGGCAATATTGCTGGCATACTGGCACTGATATTGGTTTGCAAATACTGGTTTCAAATGAGTGGAGGTCACTGAAGACTTCGATGATTTCTAAGGTAATCTGTACTGCCTGTAACATCGTGAAGCATGTCATATGGCACATCAATGCTTGGGCGAAGTTGCCCGGGATAAGCAGTGTTTGAATTTTTCTTAGACGATTTGATTTTTAGATATCATGAATACAACGTACTGAAAAAATTTGAAGGTAAGAGCATAAACCTACCTCTTTTGTGATTATTTACGATATATCCTGCCTTAAACACGACGAATGGTGTACAATGATTTTTTTCTAACGTTAGGTAGGAAAGTACACCCTGACCATAGGATGTATTGATTTAAATCAACATATTGTTATAACACATGCATATATAAATGAGCCAGAGCTCCAATAATTGGTTTTACAGCCTGCACGAGTCATAAGTCATGCTTCAATGCAAATATAGTCTGAACTTAGTCAAATGAAAAATAGAACAGCTGAGTCACGAGCTGAATCAGATTCCGCAATCCGTGAACCAGTCCGGAGCTGACTCAAGACATTGGGCTCAAACCTAGGTCGGATGATAAGCACATCTCAAGATTAGTATCCCATTCTTTGCACTACCCGAGTGACAATATATTTCCCAAGGCCCCGTAATCCAGGATGAATCAATATCATACTCAGCCAGCAGAAAACACTCTCCTGTACGCGCAAGAGTTTCTCCGGGCACGTCTCCCAACCGCTTTCACGATGCCCCCCCCCCCCCCCCTTGACCACCAACCACCAACCGACCGACTTTACCGCATCCTAGGAGCAACTCGCAATCAAATGGGAATTGAGATCCCAAAATGGTGAAGGTCTTCTTCTCTTATCGAACGATAACAAATTCACAACGTTCACCTCCAAACATCCCATTTCCTCTGTTCAGCCCTGGGTCACCTACCGGGCTGCTCTGTTTAGTATCTATACGTACTAAACGCCATCACTTTTAGTTCCAGTTGTTACTAAACACGGTTCCCCTCTTAGCAAGATCCGTACTAAATATTCTCGAGGATGTGTTGACGTAGTGCGTGTTGGCGGACGTGCTAGTTTTCGGCAGTTATGAATAAAAATGAAGTTTTTTACAGATTGGGGACTCGCATGCATTTGCTACGCAAACTGGCGCAAGCAAAGACGGTTCGGGCAGGAGTGCACCGTTTGGTGCGGGTGGGTGTAGGGGAGGGCGTTCGAAAATTCGTATATTTGTTGTCTAGGTGCCAGCGAAGTCGCGTAGATTTTATTATCTTCATTCCCTCTTCCCCACCCTATCAAATCTGAATACTGTTACACTGATTATCAAATTTGTTCCGTTCATAATTGGTGGTTAAGACAGTGCCATGGTTACTAGGTTCCTGCATGATGAGTCAACCCAGTACGTTCGTCTGTAAAGTTTGTTACGGAGGTTGAAGACCATCAGCGTAGTGACAACACTTAATGTTATTATGTTTCTGCTCTGAATGATTCATTTGGAAGGATGAACTGGATTTATTTAACTGGAGTGTCTGGATATGGTGTACGAATTGTCAACCATGACATGGTGCGGCAAAAGGAGCCATGTCTTTCCTGTTGCCCAAACTATGTTTGTCCCGCATACATGAAGTTTTTTTCTTCAAATTTCAGCATTAGGTCATCATAATGTTCCTAAAGCAACTTAAGTTGTTATCACTTTGCTATCAAGCTGTTTGTCCGTCCCAGTGGCTCAGTTGGTTAGAGCGCCTGCCTTCCGATCCACCCACCCGTGGCTGGGTGGGTTCGAGTCGCTTTAGGGCGCTGGCTATTTGCCCTTGACAGGTATGGCCTGGGGCCGGTGGCAGTGGTCGCGCTAAAGGTCAGTTGACGTCAGAGGGCAGGACGGACCATGCCGAGCATTGTGGCACGTTAAGCTTTTGCCACTAAATTCTGCCGTTGCCTGGGATTGCGCGATCGGATGGTGGGGGTCAGAGCTCGTGCAACAAGCACTGCTTAGCGTGAGCGCTGATCCCAGAAATCCATCCATTCAAAAGGGTTCGCATCGAATTTATAAAAGAAGAAGAAAAAAGCTGTTGCACTGACAGCATTACAATGGAGGTCATATTTTTGGCTGTATTCTTACCAACATTGATTTCTGGAGGTGAAAGCATTTGTGAATGTGGTGCACTTGTTCATTATGATGTAAGATTATGCTGATTTGTGCCCTTTACAAACATGGGCACACCTATAACTTGAATTATTTTTTTTTATAAATTGCTCTGTCAACAATAGCGTACATAGTCAATATGTATATGGTTTGCACATCACATCACATGCAATGCTGCTTGAATTTTGGGCTAGCTTGAGTCATGTATTGGGGGCCTGCATTCCAGCTGCAAAGAGGCATTGATTGCACTGGAGTAGTCCAACATCAGTAACATATTTGTTCTTATTATTTATTGAAGTTTATGGATGTGCCAAGTGTGTTGGTCCTTTGCCATCCATGAGTCATCATTGACAGAGAATGTGCACATTGTTGCTCTGAGTCATTGTGAAAGCAATGCTAGTTTTCTTGGTAATCACAGATTGCAATTTATTTAATTCTTTGAATGGACCTATTTTTGAGTCTTACAAGGAAAATTTTATTTATGCATAACAGTTGGGATTAACTCGCTATTTACATACACTTCTCTGGTCATTTCAGTGTAAATCACCCACAGAAATCAGGAAAATTACTACTATTGTATTTACAATAATACAGGCATTGTAAGCATGTGTTTGATGCTAATATATTTTCCTATTTGTTTGTGTGGTAAGCATATGTGTAATTTAATTAACATCTTTGGTAACACCTCACGAAATATTGCTTGGGCTTATTGCAGTATAGATATGCCTAAAATTAGTTGTCATAATCTGCTAAAATGTTTCAAAAATGTTTTAGGCAAGGCTGGGCATATTATGGGACACTGACTCATTCCACTTGACTGCACTGACAGATGCAAACTTCAATAAATAAAGGTGCTGACAGAGACTATAGGAGGTAACATTGCTGAAGAGAGCTAAGGTAACAAAATTGTAATGTTTGGTTGGATAGCATGTCTGCATCATGCATTGTGCTATTGAGACTACCATCTCACACATATATTTTTGCAGAAATCTATTATTTGCTACTCAGATCTAATTATGCATCTTTTATTATGAAATGTAACCACTTTCTACAAATCAAAAGCATTAAATGCTGAGATGACAACATGATGTGCTTGCTCATAAATGCAGGTCAAATGAGATCAGTGGGTGTGGAGGTTCAAATGGGGTCAGAGTGCAGGCATACCATGCTGAGCATTGTAGGACACAGTGCTTTCACCACAAAATTTTGTTGGAACTGGGAATCTTACACTTGAATGGGCATATCAGCACTTTGGGCCCAAACTTTGTTTAGTGTGAACTCTATTCTCAAAAACTTTTCTGATTAAAATTGTGGGACTAGATTTATATTTGTAAGGAATGCTTGCCCAGCTGGCACGGATGTATAAATGAGTAATCAAAGTTCACAACTTTCCTGACATGCATGATCCCCAATCTGCTTAGCCACAAATTGGATGATGGTATATTATATTATATATATATATATATATATATATATATATATATATATATATATATATATATATATTCATAACCTTGAATAATTTGCATTTCAGGCAGAAGGCGTTGGTGGAGGACGGTGAATTCAGGTAGCTGGTCCAGAGCTGGTGTAGGTGTTTGAATACCAAAGCCACCATGGGAGCAGTGCTCGGAATCTGTACAGCTTCACAGGTCTGCACCTATACCCTCTTGCATGCTTTAAATCCTGGTGTTGCTTGCATAGCATCGGTGAAACTGCCTGGTAGCTGATGGATAGTATTTTGCCAATACTTTCATTAGGTTTTTGTTCGTGCATATAGGTTTTATATGTTGCATAGGCTCACACCTATTTCCATGTAAATCGCAGGACGATTAAGCCAACAAAACGCTTAGAATGCAACATAACTAACATGCCAGTTGTGAAAGTCACTTCCTCGGGAGTATCAAGTGCCTTTGAAGTCCCCTGTGTTGCACCACATTCTGCCAGGTCGCATAAACACGAGCCAGAAGTGCCACGGTGACCGTGTCTGTGCGCTCCGTCGCCAGCTGGCCTGCTGCTGCGGCTCGGCGGCCTGCAGTCTCTGCTGCTCAGCTTGTCCGTCGTGCCGCAACTCCACCAGTTCGCGCATCATGTACGCCATCATGCTGCTGGCCGTCACCGTGCTCTCCTGCGTGCTGCTGGCGCCCGGCCTCCAGGACAAGCTGCAGAAGGTGCGCTGCCGCCGCCGCCGCCGCCTGGCCATGCCCGGCGCTAGCGCCGGCGCGCCGCCAGGGACCCTGTGCGACCTTGAAGTTAATGTGGTACTGGGCACACTGAACTTCAGATAAGGGTTCGGTTACGGTGTGATTGCGCTGACTGGATTTGTGTGAACAGAGTGGATGTGCGACTGGCGGTGTTGCAGCTGGACGCCTGTCGATCTGCCGTCGTCCGGTGATGGCCGGCTCGGCGCGGTGCGGGTCCCGGCTGACCGGCCCTGACCCCGACAGGTGCCGTTCTGCGGCGAACATCTCGACTGCAGCACGGCCGTAGGCTACATGGCCGTCTACCGCGTCTGCTTCATCACCACCCTCTTCTTTCTGATGATGGCGCTCATCATGATCAATGTCAAGTCCTCAAGAGACCACCGAGCTGGCATACAGAACGGGTGGGCGTTGGACGTGGCTCCGCCCTAACGGCGGTCTCCGGTTTTTGTAGGGGTGTGGTTGGACTGACTGGTTTTCTTGGGTGTTGTTGAACTTGGTGTCAGCGGTAGCGTCAAATCCAATGAGCTTCAGCATGGTGAGATACGTGATCTTGCGTTTTGAAGTTCTTGCATGTTGACGCACAAAAGCTGACTAACGTCCTTTTGCACAGGTTCTGGGCGATCAAATACCTACTGCTGATAGGTGGCATGGTTGGAGCTTTCTTCATGCCAGGTATGGACAATCTCTTAGTTGCGGAACAGTTTCCCGATTGTACCGTGGACTGGTGTTGGATACACCACGCTTTGTTTGTTTATATGTTTAGTATGCGCCGACGCGCGCTCAGACGGCGGCGTTTGGTATCCTAGTTGCTGGTCGACAGTACTTACGAGTGACCACCTTTTGGCAGCTGGTAGTCTCGTCTGGTGGATGTACTTCGGCATGATCGGAGGCTTCCTGTTTATTCTGATCCAGCTGGTGCTCATCATCGACTTCGCCCACGGCTGGGCCGAAAACTGGGTGAGCGGGCGTCGTGAAATTTATAAAGGTGGAACAACATGGAACTGAACGCGACATCATTTGACACACACTTAACGCACACACAACGATATGACATGGGACCAGTACTACGTCCGTAAATGGGCGTCCTTCTGCGGGTGTTTCGAAATGTATGGTCTTTTGCGCCACAACATGGTTTGTGCCTGGTTGGGGTTGGATGCATGGCAGAGGTGTGTAAATGATAGTCATTGAGATATGTGATCGTTTTCTTGACTGTGGTTCTGTACAGCACGAGGAAGTACAACCTCAAATGCGTTTCATTGCGCGAGTGCCAAAACAGTCGTTTGAAATTCGCCTTATTCTAGCGTTCGAGCTGATAAGTGGTAACATTTCCATATATATATATATATATATATATATATATATATATATATATATATATATGCAACATGTTTTGTTGTCCTGCCGGAAGTGAAAAAAGCCCAGACGTGTTGTTTGCGAAACCAAATCAGCTGCCCAACGTCGATAACATTTGTATTGGTGCGCTGGCGCCGACAGGCTGAGTGTGACCCATTCCTCGCTCGTCAGGTGTCACGGTACGAGGAGACGGGCGCGAAGGCCTGGTACTGCCTGCTGCTCTTCTTCACGTTCCTGCAGTACGCGCTGGCCATCACGGCCGTTGGCCTCTTCTTCGCCTTCTACACGCGCCCGGACGGCTGCGCCACGCACAAGTTCTTCATCAGCGTCAACCTGATCCTGTGCGTGGTGGTGTCGGTGGTGTCAGTGCTGCCTAAGGTGCAGCAGGCGCAGCCGAACTCGGGCCTGCTGCAGTCGGCCGCCGTCACCCTCTACACCATGTACCTCACCTGGAGCGCCATGGCCAACCAGCCCGGTACGTGTACGCCCGTGCAGAACGTCGGCCTGGCGGTGGGCCGCGCCTCTAGAGCTGGGAGTCGGAGCGCCGGCTGGGGCACGCAGTGCGTCACGTCCGGCACGACCGGAGCGGGCTTAAGCTGGGACTGGTTACACCAGGGCCGCATTCCCCAGTGCCGAACGGCGTCCACAAGTTGCAACCTATGACGTCATGTATGTGCGTCACAATAGGTCCTACGCATCGGAGCACAGTCGCCCGTGTGTGACGCACACACTTGTGGCGTAGGTGCTTGTGACGTGGGCACATGTGACGTAGGCTTTTGCAACGTCGTAAGGAGCAGCATCAGGTGGGTGCCTTGGCAGTAGGGAACAGTACCCAGTTGGGCGCAACGTGGACTGTACCTGACCTGAAAATTCAACTCCAGTTCGGCGGCTGTTGGCCGTGGCGACGGCCAACCCTGCAGCGCGCGCTGCGTGCCGTTCTGCCGCCTGGTCGGCCGTCGCGAGCCGTCGTCCTCACCGTCTGCCCTGTAACGCCGGTGCCCTGGCGGCAGACCTCACCTGCAAGCCCAACTTCTCGGGCATCATCAACGGCGGCGGCGGCGGTGGTGCGAACCCAACTCCTGGACCGGCCAATCAGGGCGCCAGCTTCGACGCCGAGTCGATCGTCGGTCTGGTGGTCTGGTTCGTCTGCGTGCTCTACTCCAGTGTGCGGTGAGTGAGCCGGCGGCGGGCAGACCTGGGCTGGCGGCTGGCATGGCTCGCCGGCGGCGGGCACGCTCAGGCCGCCGGCTGGCATGGCTCCCCGGCGGCGGGCAGACCTGGGCTGTCGGCTGGCATGGCTCGCCGGCGGCGGGCAGGCGCAGGCCGCCGCAGCCGGCTGGCATGGCTCCCCGGCGCGGGCTGGCGGCGTGCTGCCGCATTTCTGTAGGGCTGGAGCAGGGCCGGGGTCTAAGGTGGAGGAGGCTGGTGGTGAAACGGCTGAGGTGCTGGCGTGGGAGCCATTCATGTGGCGAGGAGATCAGCCTACTGGACAGTCGCTGCGCGCTTGCTACAACGGCGCAGGTGCCCTACAGTAAGCCTGACACTTCGCAGTGTTGTATGGTGCTGGAGCCCAAAAATCCCTAAATGTTAAGTTTTTTCTGATACGTTTTGAAGTTTGCCACAGGTGTAGATCCAACGACTCCGTAAAACGTCGTATGCACCACTAATTGTCGATAGATGTCATGAGTGAGATTACTTTCGTAAGCACAGTCGGGCCGTGCCGCGGCGCGCCAGCAGCGGCGTGTCTCGCGGCCGTCTGACCGGCCGCCCTGCCTGCCGCAGCACGGCCAGCTCCTCCCAGCACGCCCGGCTGACCGGCTCCGACAAGATCCTTCTGAAGGAGGAGTCCGGCTCCGGTGAGTGCTCGCGTCGCAAGCGGCGGTGGCCGGACGGCCGTCAGCGGTGACCCCTTTCTGCAGTCCTGTGGCGCCGCCGCTCGTGTTTTCTGACGGTGGGCGGTCCTGCGGGGCGTGGCTCCAGTCGGGCTGGGTCTGAGTGTGGCGTCTGGGTGCTGGGGATGGGATCTTGCCGTGGCTGAGCTGCCTGAGGTGCCAGACGCGGGGTGTACCCGGTGATGTCCAAGGCCTGCGTCCTGCCCCCGTCCTGGCTGGCCCGTATCCAGTTCCGCTCGGGTGTCGACGCGGCTGCGTTCGTATCAGTGGTTGAACTCCTCCGTGGTGTTTGATCTGGATTCTTACAATGTGTTGATCTTTCAGTGGGACGCCTGTTGTCCTTGGTCACCAGAATCCTCTTCTCGTCGCCCAGTTTGGGCGCTCTGGTAGTGGCTAAAGCAAAGCTTTTAAAACGGCTTTATTAATTGCGTATGCGCCGCTGTCACGCTGTCGTCGGTGACGGGGCATACGTCATGCGTTAGAGGAGCGCTGCCGCTGCGACCCAAAGGCACACTCATTATAGGCAATGTTGCTCACGTAAACTCACACTAATTTGTAATCGCACGAGAATCTTAAAATCTTCAGTAATAAATGTCCACACAACGTTATATGCCATAACTAGCGTCTTTCTGTATTGTGGCGTACTTTCCAAGTGAAAGCTATACGTATTCGACCAGTTGGGTAATGTTTTTTCCCAACTCGGTTGATATCCATCTTGAGCTGTACTCATTTTTCTAGCCGGAAAGACCGACAAGAGAAGTCTGGTGAATAATTTGGAGGGCAAGCCAAGGCGGTCCCATGACTGAGCCCCACCCGAGCGCAGCCCCCGTGCCGTGAGCGGCCGTCCCCGGTCACCGTCACAGTCCAGTGCCTGTGGCGTACTTCCATGAGAGATAACTCGTGCAGTGCGCGCCGTTTTGGTGCGCCCACTGTCGCCACTCGCCGAGAGGTATCAGCCCCGGCGTGGCGTGAGCCGATGTGCGTGGTCCCGGCGGCATCATGTGCGGGATCTCTGCCGTCCGGCTGCTTGTGTAACAAGGCCTATATCCGCGGCGAAAAAAAGATTAGCGGCGTGTGCTTGCGATTCCTTCCGTCTCCAGTGTGCTCTGCAGAGGTGGAGGTGTTGTGTCAGCCAGTGGTTGCGTCTGACTCTGAAGATCAACGGTTCTGATATTGTTATTGATCGCCATTCTCGTAAGCTATCGCACGGTCCTCTGTTTCCGTGAAGCTTTCAGTGAAGGCCAGACAGTATCAGTGCCCTATTCTGTGCGTTCGTGATCAGCTGACCAGGCTGTCCAGGCTGCATCGGTGCCGGCGACTGGCGGGCCGCGGTCGGGAGCTCGGGGTCCTGACGCGCCTTGGACGGTCGGCTGCTTCCAGGAGGCGGCACCACGCAGGACTCAGAGGCACAAGTGTGGGATAACGAGGACGAGGGCGTCGCCTACAGCTGGTCCTTCTTCCACCTGATGTTCGCGTTGGCCACGCTTTACGTCATGATGACGCTCACCAACTGGTACTCGTAAGTAACGCGCGGCGACAAGCCATTACCAACTGGTACTTGTGAGTACCGCGCGTCGACAAGCCATCACCAACTGGTACTCGTGAGTAACGCGCGGCCACAAGCCATCACCATCTGGTACTCGTGAGTAACGCGCGGCGACAAGCCGTTACCAACTGGTACTTGTGAGTACCGCGCGTCGACAAGCCATCACCAATTGGTACTCGTGAGTAACGCGTGTCCACAAGCCATTACCAACTGGTACCCGTGAGTAACGCGCGGCGACAAGCCATTACCAACTGGTACTTGTGAGTACCGCGCGTCGACAAGCCATCACCAACTGGTACTCGTGAGTAACGCGCGGCCACAAACCATCACCAACTGGTACTCGTGAATAACGCGCGGCGACAAGCCATTACCAACTGGTACTTGTGAGTACCGCGCGTCGACAAGCCATTACCAACTGGTACTCGTGAGTAACGCGTGTCCACAAGCCATTCCCAACTGGTACTCGTGAGTAACGCGCGGCGACAAGCCATTACCAACTGGTACTTGTGAGTACCGCGCGTCGACAAGCCATTACCAACTGGTACTCGTGAGTAACGCGCGGCGACAAGCCATTACCAACTGGCACTCGTGAGTACCGCGCGGCGACAAGCCATTACCAATTGCGTTTTTATGCTGGGACTGAGGATCAGCCTGCTGTCTTTCAGTCGCAGTCCCAGCAGCCGGCAGCAAACTTCGCCAACCTGTGGCTCCACTCCTGCACCCAGTAGGGCACAGGAGACAATGATAGGATATGGGTAACAAGTTGGAACGAGAGGTATGACGGGCATGTCATAGACGCAAAAAAACACATTCAAAAGAGTGATTTTGTCGGAGGAAATCACTGCGCGCGGTTATGAAAATAGGCTTTTAGGACAACAAATAGCAGCAAGTTCCGTGCACAATGAGGGTGACAGTCAACTTATAGCAGCTTGGGTGCAATGCTAAGCTGACGAAGTTTAGCAAATGAAGGAAAAACATGAAAATGGAGACTCGCAATTCGTTCCTAATTGTATATCCCGTAGTCCTATAACGTTCAACGTATGAAGAGTGGTGGTAATAGTCTAAAGGTACATATGAGGCTATTTGTAAACATGCAACCTCTTACTGCTGGTGGATTTAATTTGTTGATCCATTTTAAGCAAGGCTTAGGTACAGTTGCCAAGTGACAGGAATGTTCAGTATGCGTACTTAATTTCGTCCCAATGCCAGGTGCAGGGATGCCGTTTCGACATGTCCGGCATCCCAGGATTGAGGATTGGTGCCGGGTTGATTTCCCGGGAGTAGTCCCGTTCGACGTTGCCGTCCCCAGTTCATGCCGACTAGCTCTCTGCGTGTCTCATGTTCTCATGTCCTGTCGCTCTGGTGATGATGGCTGTTTGTGTTTCATGCGGCCCATTGTGCAGACCGGAGGGAAGGTAGGCTTCAGCATACGCTGTGGTTTGACCTCTTGGCTTCGGGCCTGGGCTGTGTGCAGTGATCGAGTAGCCTCTGTCGCGCATTGGGGTGCTGTGACCTCATTTCCAATATGTATCCATGTTGCTCCTTTTGCTCTGGTTTGAGGGGTGCGTTGAGGGGTGCGACTTTACTCACCGTATGTTTCCGACTTTTAATTGCGAGACTCTTAGTACTAATGAAGAAAATAAATCAGAAGCTGTAGTAAGATGTTCGTGTTGATTTCAGTGGGGTAACTGCCCTTGTATGGGCTATGTACCATCCAAGGTGTGACCAGCAAAGCTTAATGTCTGCTTTCCATGCGCCTCACCACAGTCCCATGGCCCAGACCATCACCTCTCTCGTGTTGTGTGTGCTGTGTACTGCGCATCAGGGCGTACGCTGACAGCGGTCTCGCTCGCTTCCAGCCCCAACTCAGATCTGCGCACGCTATCCAACAACGCGGCCTCCATGTGGGTGAAGATCGCGTCCTCGTGGATGTGCCTGGCCCTGTACACCTGGTCGCTGGTGGCGCCGCTCATCCTCACCAACAGGGACTTCAGTTAATGCGGTTGCTCACCAGGCGCCGCCTGCGGTCGCACCAAGAGTTCGCGAACGACCTCGCCCGATGGGAGCTTGGCCTCCTCAGTTGTACGAAATCGAAGCCCCTTGGGGAACCGATGATTCTGTACATAAACTATGAACTTCCTAGTGAGAGTTCGGTTGATGGGGGAACTGGAGATGACATTTACACATAGACTGGTAATCGCGTATGGGAGAGCTGTCTTGTCAAGCGCCGGCACCACAGCCATCTGCAGTTTGCCCGGTTGTATTGCCAAGCGCGAGCCATACCGCACGGCCCTTGAAGTACGACCGAAAAGCGGCAAATTTTAGATGTAGATGTAGAACCGCCTCACGACTGCATACAGCTGGTAGCGTAGACTGCTTACGACAGGTTTCGTCGTTGGCTTACGGTCGACTAGCAGTGGTGCGGCGGGCTTTGTCGCTTTTGGTGTTGTGTTTAACAAATGTGCTTGTAGTCCACTCGTTTTGTCACGTTCGCGCAACAAGTGCGCTCACTTACGGTAAATTGTTTATGATGGTGATGAGATGGTGGAAAATCTGCTTACGTATATTCGTTTTAAGCCGCAGCGCTTGCGCGATGCCACATTGAGCGTGTCCATGCTGGTCTCGTCAAGTGATTGGCTCAGGCGCGCCACATCAAGCGTGTTCATGCTGGTCTCGTCAAATGATTGGCTGTCGGTTTTAACGCGGACGAAATGTGACACGCCTTAGGGGCGGTTTATAGTGCTGTCAAACACGGCGGACATTTGTGCCGGTTGTGTGGTGACATGACACGGCCGGGGGCTGACCGGCGCGTGGCGGCCCGCCGTCCGATCGCGGCCCGATCAGAGGCGGTGCGAGACGCGTGGCAGCGGTCTCGCGCGACAGGAACGGGCCATGGTGGGCCCGAGCCGAGCCGCCATCAAATACACGCGTCTGATCTCTGATTCGTATTGCGCGCAGCGCGCCGGGGCGACAGCGCGAACATCCGTTGAGATTGCTGGCGGTAGCGTCGAGCGCCAGCGGCTAACGCAAGCTCGAGGGAAGCGATCCGGACGTCACGGAGTCCGATCAGAGCACGCCACACATGACCAGCGTGGCGTGGCCAGCGCGCCCCCCGGTGACAGTGAAGCGGACATATGACCCCGTATGGCAACGTACTTGTGTGCACAGCGTTATACAAGCCACCGAACCGCGAGACAACGGGAGACACGCTACACGAGAACACATGAAGGCGTTGCAACAGGTGGCGACCGTTCCTGTTAGTCCCATTATCACATTGATAAAGCATAATGATGAGTTGCAGCGCTCTGCACGAGCGTGAGTGTACGACCGCGGCGCCGGCCGCTGGTTGGTTGCACTTCCCGGCGGGGCTCGAGCGCGTAATGCGGCTACCCGCCATCCGTCTGGGCCCCGCGGAGCCGCCGCCCAGCAGCGGGCCGGGGCCGGCGCCGGCGCCGGGCGAACGCCACGCGCCGCGGGCTGACGGACGGCGCCGATCAGTGCCGCCGCGGCGCGCGCCGAGCACGGCCACTGCCGGCCGCACTCCGCGACCGGGGTCGCTAGATGAACCGGAAGCACTTCTGCTTGTCCGGCGGCAGTCTCGTCTTGAAGAGCACCGAGTCGACGCGGAACTGCGTGTTCAGCAGCGGCATGTGGCCGTACACGCGCGAGAAGAAGTTGATACACTTGTGGCGCTCGGTGAAGTGCTCCTCGTCCTCGGAGAGCGTCATTGGACAGCCGGGACAGCGGAACGTCCAGCGGGAGGTCACCTGAAACAACGTACCCGAGCTCAGGGCACAGCCTCGCCACGGGGCGATGGGAGGTCACAGCCAGAGGTACCGAGCGCATGCGGCCCTGGTGGCACATTGGTGTGGTCAAACAAACGGCTCACGGCCGCCAGTCCGGAACGGATGACAGACGGGAAGGGATATCTTGCTCCCATTCTTAGTGGAAATGCAGTCGAAGTGAAAACTCGTCACAGGTCGTATGTGACAAATTGTCCACAACTGAACGCAAAGTAAAACGGCCTGGACATACCTAGTCATGGGACCAGGAATTCAGTAGTCGGGGAGTTTCTAGTGGACGAGATGACATCGCAACGTTAGAGTCTTACTGAGTGTACTCATCCTACTAGGTCCGTGGTGCACACTTCCATCCGCAGCTTGGAGTCCCTGTGGAGCTCCCTCCCAACACACATATCAAGCGCAGCCCGTCACGGTGCGAGCGCGCCTGGCCGGTGGCGCGTGATGAGCTGGGCCGCGTCGCACCTTGACGGGCGGCTGCCGGGTCAAGTGCGAGATGAGGAAGTTCATGGCGATATCCTCGCAGTTCATGTACTCGTCCACCTTGTCCCGGATCACTTGGGGCATCCACTCAGAGTACATGTGTGCGTAGTACTTGTGGAAAAACGCCGCACCTGCCGGGCAGCGTGCCGTGAGAACGATCTCCGGCCGGCGGCACTGAGAACGCCCGCCGCATGCAACACACGGCACACCACCGCCGGCCCGAGCCAGCTCGGGCGGAGGCAGAGACGCCCGGGGGCAGTCAGAGGCTGGTGAGCGAGGCGGCGAGCCTGACACGGGCGAGGCAGCGAGCTTGACACGGGCGAGGCGGCGAGCTTGACACGGGCGAGGCAGCGAGCCTGACACGAGCGAGGCGGCGAACTCGACACGAGCGAGGCTGCGACCTCGACACGAGCGAGGCAGCGAACTCGACACGAGCGAGGCTGCGACCTCGACACGAGCGAGGCAGTGAACCTCGACACGAGCGAGGCAGCGAACTCGACACGAGCGAGGCTGCGACCTCGACACGAGCGAGGCAGCGACCTCGACACGAGCGAGGCAGTGGGCTCGACAAGAGCGAGCCGGCGAGCCAACACCACCGAAGCAAGCCGCACCACTCAAACGACACAGGACGCCACCCACTCCTACCTGTCAGCACCATGGAGGGCTCGCACGAGTAGTTGGAGTTGTAGTGCCAGCCGCCGTGCTTGGTGTCCCAGGCGTTGTAGCGCCCCGGGAAGCCGACCAGTCGGTCCCGCTGCTCGCGCCACACCCTGCGGCCGTCGGCGCAGGTCAGTGCTTGCACAGGGTGCCACCACGTCAGTACACCGCCAGGCGGCACACAGTCCCGACACCTGGGCGGACCGGGCGTCCGACCCGGGCACACCGGCCCATTAATGACAGGCTTCTTGGACGTTACATTGCACCAATAACACCAAAACGTCCCAGTTTAAGATATTCTTGGTTCTATCGTCACACACTTCTCCAATGCATGGATAGCACTTATTCTAATTCCCGGGCGTTCACACTACAATGCAAGGGCCCCGACTCCAGCAATTCGTGAAACCGGATGAACGAATTTATAAGCCACATGCACGCCGAACTGTACAGGGTTTTTTATGAAAGACCCTAATAGCAAAGTGAGACCAGTCACCCAGCGTGAGGACGCCGTAACGTCCATGACAGCGGCCGCCGCGCACCCACCGGAATCCGAACACAATCTCGTCGTGACGCAGGTGTGCGTCGTCGTCGATTGATAAAATGGCATCCGTCTCGATGTTTTCGAATGGGAGGAACCGGTTGTTTAGGCTGTTCTTGCCAACCGTGACCACCTGTTGGAAACAATGTCGGTGGCACGACATCAGTAGTAAATGGGAATGCAAATGTAAACACACGTGCTCAGCCGTAAAACAAGTAACTATCAGAAAAATGGTGATAACACACGGATACAAGGTAATAAATGGTGGATGGTCCCATTCGATTAAATGCCTTGTTCAAGACGTTCGAATCAGACGCCATAGAAAATATGACCACAGTGATGCATGAAATTATTGCGTATTTATTGCTTATTGCATGTTGCATACATGTTTGCATACATGATTGCGTGTACCACGCTCCATGCAGAGTACCCAAGTACACATTATTCACTCGCTACACGTGCTCAGACATGTCAAATTTCGCCGACATCCCACAATCACAGGGATGGCACGGAGCGTTGCCAGGTCCGGACCCGTCGCAGGCCGCCTCTTCCCCCTTCCGCGGCGGGGTAACCCACCTCCACGGGCACGCCGACGCTGGGCCACTGGAGCGTGTCGGACGGCGACTCGGGGGCGTTCCACACCACCACCACCTTGTTGAGGTAAGGCAGGCCGTACAGGTGGCCCAGAGCGCTCATCAGCACCTGCCGACAGACGGCGCCGGCGCGCAGTGAGCCGCGGGGCGGCCGCAGGGAGGCGGCCTGTCGCGGCCGGGCACCGGCGTCTGCCGCGGCGGCGACGCCCGGCGTCACAGGCGGCCAAGACACGCCAGTCGGCCCGTCCACAACTCAGTGTGCAGCGCGCGCACACCCCAGCGACGGTGCAGCATCAGCCCAGCTGTCGGACTATGATGTGACTGGAGGAAAGTAGTCACAGGTTTCGGAGACGTGACATAGCGTGGCATCGAGGTAAATCAGTACAGTACTGCATCCTCGAGCAAAACCTGACCAACAACATAAACCAAGGCAGAGAGCGGGCAAAATTCACTTCGATATTCGTTCTTGCAGCGCGAATTCATCGGCTGACTGCACCTTGCGCTCTCCCACCACCCCGGCAGCAGGACGTGATCTCGCTGGCGGCCCTGACCGCCACTGACCTGCTCTCGTCGGTAGGTGAGCATGACAACGGTGAACTGCTCGTGCGGCGAGTTGCCTCCGAGCGCCTCGCTGAACTCCTTGCCGCTGCCACCCTCGCCGGACGCCACCGGCCGGAAGCCGAGCCGCGGGCCTGTCGGCGCGCCGCCGCCCACCCTGTTAGCACCTCTCCTAGCGCCGGCCACCGATGTGGCGTGGTGTGGCTCCGTTCACGTCTCGTCCGCGCACGCACGCGCTCAGGGCGAAGTGGGCCGGTGAAGTCGTTTAAATGGTGTAGCGGCTCCCAAATACTGGCGCCTGACTGTGGCCAAACATTTGTGGCTCACATCTGACCTGTTCATGGCCGGTAGCTAAAAATAAAACTTCCCGCATGCAAGCTTGTTCCGGTGGTCCCCGACGAAAAGCGAAGTAAACAACGAAGCCGAAACCAGGACTGAACGTTGAGAGCATCCACAACATTTACATCCCAACGGCCCTCAGCGCAGCAATGAGAGCACACCACCACCCAACCTGACGTCACATGGTCCATAACAGCTCCCCGATGTCACCAGTGCCAGCACTCGTCGGCTTCCTTGGCCCCACCGACGGGCCGCGCGCCGCCGCTGCCGGGCTCACCTACAAATTTGGCCTCGGCCGGCAGCACGTCACCGTACGGCACGGCCGGGTACAGTCGGTGCGGCGCCAGGAACAGGTTCCAGCGCGCGTACGTGTCCAGCCGCGGTGTGGTGAAGTTGCGCTGGAAGCGGTCCGAGGCCAGCGGCGACTCGATCGGCCCCAGGTACTCGTCCAGGTCCAGGCTGCTGAGCTGAACGTCCACGGTCAACCGCTGAAACGGGCCGGGAGGCGGGCCGGGTCACGGGACGCCGGCTCGGGGAAGGTCGGCCAGCGCGGTGGTGAGATGAAGCGACAGCGGGGACGGAATCATATGGACAGCCACGCCGCATCAGGGGGCGCACGGACGGGCAGCCGCACACCGGCGGCTGCGACGACGCGCTGCTCAAATCCACGTCCACATTTCATCACGAGTGGCTGGTTATCCCATTCACGAGCCAGCGGCAACCACGAGTGCTTTTACATTCAACTAACGTCTGCCTCAATGGGCATCTATAATAATAAACCAGTGTATCATGCCTAGCCGGATAGGCAGCCCTAGTCGTTAGTTGGTATTATACCTAGCGCAATATCAACTGGTCGGGTGAGGCTAAAGCACGTGGAAATCTACGCGAAATGAAATTAAGACAGAAGACCCCGTGTTCTTCCCACAACGTTCCACTATGCACCGTACGCGTGTCCGTCCGTACCGTACCTGGAACGTGTCGTTGAAGGCGCTTCCAGCCTTGACGCCGAGGGCGGGCGGCGGCGGCAGCTCCAGCCTCTCAGCGAACTGCGTCAGCACCGCGTCCGCCACCGCCTTGGCCGAGCTCAGGTAATGCTCCCAGAACTGGCCGCGGAGAGAGGCGTACATCGGAATGGCGACAGGACACGCGCGCGGATTAGCGGCACGCCACAGTACTAAAGGCACGTGAAACGCAGGTTGACTCATCGAGCGCTGCCAATATATAATGCCAAGGTGATGGCGATGACAGGAGAATCTCCGCGGACACTGGCCCATAGCGGTATCTACTTCACCTCAACACCGACGTTCGGCGGCCTCCACGCCGGCTGCCGCCCTGCCCGGAACACGTGCTCACCTCCCTGCCGTTGCGCCGGTAGCTGAGGATGTCGGCGTCGGTGAGCGTGCGCAGCAGGTAGTGCAGCTCGGGCAGACGCGGCTCGGCCACGCGCAGTACGGCGCGCCGCCAGTCGAGCGGTCCGTCCAGCGGCAGCGGCCACTCGCCCAGCAGCACGGGTACGGCGCCGGCGCGCAGCGCTTCGGTCAGTCGGCGCGCGCCGCCGCCAGCCGGCGCCGGCAGCAACGCGAACGTGGCATTGCTGAGGCGTGCGGCCCGCTGCTCGGCCGAGCCGCAGAGCCGCCAGCCACGGCCGCCAGGCGCCGCCGGCGCTGCCGGCGGGCACGTGGACACCAGGTGCACAGCGTCGTGCGTGTGCGCGTGTGCCAGCGGCCGAAGCGCGTTGGTGAGCGCCGCGGCGCGCATCGCGTCCTCGCCGTCGGCCAGCTCGCCCTCGAACGTGACGAGCAGGGCGCGCCGGGCCGGCACGAGCGGCGGCGCCGTCTGCCAGGCCACGTCACGCAGCGGCCCGTCCACGCTCGGCAGCACCAAGTCGAAGCCGGGCCGCGGCTCCGCGCCGGCGTCCGAGCGCACCAGCACGGCGCGGCCCGTGTCGACGGCGTCGAGCGCGTCGGCCGCCGCCGCGCCGACCGCCACCAGCAGGTGATTGCGGCCGTCGCCGGCCCAGTGCGGCGCGGCGGCCAGTTGGCGGCGCAGCTCGGCCGGCGTCGTCGCACCACCCAGCACCAGCACGAACGCACAGACGCGCGCGGCCTCCGGCCGCCACTGCGCGTTGCTGCGTAGCGCTTCGTGCAGCCGGCTGGCGTCTGCGTCGCCCGACGCCTCCAGCCGGTACAGGAAGAAGGTGAAGCCGCCAGTGAGTGGACAGCGCGAGTAGTCCCAGCAGTCGGCCAGCGAGCAGTGGCGGGCGTCGGCGGCCGCCGGCGGCGGCAGCGGCGCGCGGGGACCCAGCTCCGGCTGCAGCGGCCGCGGCATCGCCAGCAGCGGCGTGTCCCGCTCGGCCGCCTCGCGCTGCGTCGCGCGCGCCTGCCGACGAGCGGCACGGCGTCAGGGTGCGTGCCCTGGCCCCCTCACCCCCCCCCCCCCCCATCAGGCATACGGGGACGGGGACGGGGACACAGCGGACTACAGCGCGTTATACAGGCACAGTCCCGCGGCAGTCGAGACGACAACATGCCAATTGAAGCAGGCAATAGCACGCAGCGGTACCTTACCAGCGTGACGCCCTCGCAGGAACTGATAAGAATGTAGAGCAACGACTGCTGCTGCTACGCCCCCTGTTCCAACAGCACGCCAGGACACGGCACAGCAAGCACCCTTCACGCATCACAGCGAATAAATAGCGCGCGCTATCACGGGCGACACAGCCGTTGGCAACCGAACAGCACCTGGACTGGGAGACGGCAAAACAGCAAACGACGACACAGGACACCAGCAACCAAAAGGACCGGTAGGTGTCCGTTGTAATGTGAGGACCTGAGGTGGCTAGAGTCTCGTCACGTCACGTAATAGGAGTCGCACAGAGCAAGGTCAGTGGAGCTATCACATTCGATCAATAGCATCTGGTACTTGGCGAGACAAGAAAGTCCCGGTAAAAGCTATGACGGATCATGGAGTAAAGCCAGATGGCTTCGCGTTGACCCTTGGCAGTAAAAGGTGGCGTGTGTTAACTTGAACTCACGTTACGTCGCCCATATATGAAACGTTGCATAGAGACGGCCTTGTTTAGCCAGACCTGCCATCCCCAGTTGTTGTTGAACTTCTCCTCTTGCACATCGGGCGTGGAATTGGCAGGCAAGGGAGTCGTACCAACACGACGCTGAGGGAAAGGTATCCTAACGATACACCGAAACTGGATCGACCACATCCAAGCTGACCACGGTGAAGCCAAACCGACTGAACGGTATGACCGGCCGTGGAACCACAGTCTCCGCGTCGCAAAGGCCCGTGTCGACGACCGCCAGAGGCCCGAACTGGGGCCGGCAGATGAAGCCAGCTGCCGGTTGGACTTGCGGTCACTTCTGTACCTGCTCGACACTGTACTTGAGCCGCTCGTACTCGAGCTGTAGACGCGCCAGGTTCTGCTTCAGTTCGTCTATCCGGCTGCTGTATGTCTCGATCGACTGGTGCAGCTTGTTCCGTTTCGCCTCCAGCTGCATCAGTTCGTTGCTGACAGAGTCTGCAGGAAATAAAAGGTATCGGTTGGCGATGGCAGAGAACGACTCACGTCATTGCGGTGTGTATTTGGTAAATAAATCTCAGCTTCAGCTCAATAATAAAGCATGAGGCAAGGACAAGGTTTCTCTACGGTCTGAGATGAGCGGACATGCATCGTAGCCAACCGTAAGACAGCATGAGAGTTGTCGCAATGTGCTGCTGTATTTGCGAGCAGCGACATCTCAGGCCGCGTCGCTACACAAGGCTCCGCATCACATTTTCCCAGCATTGTTTTTGGATGATTATTATGTTCTGTTGTTTCGGCCGTCTGAGCTACAAATGCTTTTCACGCCTTTGTTGTAGGAAGCCACATTGGCACGCGGAGTATAGCGCTTAATCTTACGATCTTTCTCTGTGATCGTCAGTCATCACCTGCACGCGACGCTCGGAAACCATAGGAACCACCTCCTTCGCCGACAAGTAAATTATTACAGCAGCCATCTGTTTCAGGGCTGGCATGAGTGAGCTGCCTTTTCCTCCGCGCGCATTTCGCCCATTATTTTCTAAACGTGGTTCAGCACGTCTTGCCTTACCAGACACACAATGCTCACAAGCTCACCGGGCTCATTCAAACCCACGTGGAGGGATTCTGCCGCACGAGTTACTAGTGGCCGGGTAATGGTAATCCTTAAATCGTTCGTCACAACCAGACTAGTGTAGGACAGCAAACGACCAGCCAGTGCTCGCTCATGCCCTAACAAACAAGACTGACTGGAACGCTTGTTTGGCGAGTCTGTGGAGTCATGCTCCAACTCGCGGCCGAACATGATCAGCTGGCGGGCGGGTCCTTAAGCGGCGGCTCAAGGTCGGAACAGACTCAGATCCAGTGACACTCGAACTTTGTGCGACACGGACTGGGACGCTGGTCTGAGACACGAGACAAAGTGGCAGAAAGTGGCGTGCATCCAATCCGATTCGAGAGGCCAACCGCTCAGCGGGCAAGAGAAATGATGCAATGATGTTACGTTGTCGACAAGTTCTTCTTAGGTTTCCGTGGCTGGATTGCGCGCTATGCTACTCGGTACCTGAATATGTCACGCGTTAGCACTCAGCTCCTCTATATCGCTGTCTTTTTAGGAGCCTTCAACAAAACGGCGATGTCCGCGACGTGCGAAAGCTTCTGGATATCAATGTCATCATTGTGTTTCGACACTCTAAGCACTGTTGTTTGTAACATCGGGTACCAACGTCGTCATCATATTTTGATACATTTAGCACCGTTGTTTGTAGCATGTCTTATGATTCCAAACTCAATGTGCATTGAATTGGTTGCTTATCAACAAAATAATTAATAGGTGGCCTTGCTCTAAAATCGATGTAGGACTTCTGAAATTCAATGTAACCCTTAGTTCTCGGTAGAGTTGACAATAATGTTCGGATTTTTTCTTTTCTTTTATTGAGCCCGAATATATCCCTGCATGCGAGCTTAAGTTGGTTATTTATTGAAAACGTATTTGTTCCGACAGATGGCGTCAATTAGCCCACTGCCAACAGTTCGAACGACCTTAATCGTCCTTTATCGTGCTGTCTCGGGACTTCGAGCAAATTTAGGCCTTTTGAGGCTCTCCGCGTCAAAAATGATCTTTCGAAAGCCAAAACATATTAAACTGCATGCCTTTTTAGCTAAATCACGTTTAGCAGATGCATAATATTACGAAATGCACCTTCGTCAGTGCAAAATTTTGCCATTCGGCGCAAGTCATCATCACTGGTTCATCAGCGCGCGAAGAAATAGCATATGCAGAGTGGGATACAAAGCTTTGCATACGATACAATGATTTAAGTACTGAAATGTCCCCAAAGCAGATCATCCTCAGGCAATATGCGAAGAAATCTGCCACGGACATCTGTGCCTAACATCAGATATCACAACCTGATGTGATAATGTTGTTGTTGTTCATTGGTGTTTTCGGGCGCGTCGACTTCAATGGTCATTTTGCGCCCATAACGATGTTTTTACTTAATTAGTACGGTGTGAAAATGACTTGAAAATCAATATTTTTTAAGAACGAAAAGAGTTGTTTGGAATCAAGAAGGGAGGAACTGTCCCCGAGCACATCGCTAATCGTCAGGGGCGAAGCCTGCGGACCAAAGTGACGTCGTCGTTCTTCGATGAGGCACGGACATGATACAATGACATGGTGGACAGTTAGAACGGCACCACACCGCTGGCATAGGGGTCTGTCAGCTCCATGCAACAGATGGCCATAGGTGGCATACGTATGCCCAATACGCAACCTGCGTAAAACCACTTATTCCCACCGCACACTGCGAGAGTATGACGACCACAAGCCCAACTCGGTTTTCATCGCCTTGAGCTTATTGCCGCCCACCTGGTCCCAACGACGCTGCAATTTACTTCTCAGGAAGGTCTTGACTGCCGGGTAGAAATATCTGGCAGGGATAGGAAAAAAACCGGGTATATGGTGCCACCGCTGCTCGCTTGGCAGCAGCATCAGCCAACTCGTTGCCCACGATACCGACGTGACTGGGGATCCAGCACAGGGCAACTCTCTTTCCAACCCGATTCAACTGTGTCAGGCGTGATAAAATGTCCTGTATAAGGGGACATCATGGATAAAAAGACTTCAGTGCAGAGAGCCTGCTCAGTGAATCTGTAAAAATGGCGTGGGAAGATTATTCACCAACTTCTATGAACATATCGCCTTGGTAGTCGCAATTAATTCCGCTATGAAAACTGACGAGTGGGCCGGTAACGAGAACGATCGAGCGACGGAACCGCTGATGAACGCACAACCCACGCCATCCGAGATTTGGATCCGTCTGTGTACGTCAGACTGTATCCTTCATAACACGACAGAAGCTCAAGTGCCCTGGATCTCATTAGGTGTGGTGTGGCGTCTTTTTTTCCTAATTTCCGTAAGCCAGGTGTCAATGAAGGGTATGGTCACTTGTCAAGGAGGAGAAGCCAGGTGGCTTACTTGCTTTGCACCTCGAAAAGGAATTCCGCCCTCCAGCAATAAGGCTCTCATTCGGAAACCAAAAGCTAAAGCGTGCTGCTGCGGCCCATGACGAAGGGAACTTACGGTAATCCGAGAAAATACTGCAGAATATGTCGGATGAAGTGGGAACTGCCGCAGCTTTAAGGCATAACGTATGCCGAGCATTTTCCTCCTCATCGAAAGTGGTGGCTCGTGTGCCTCCGTTAAAAGGCTGACGGAAGGTGATGTGCGGAACGTCCAGTAGCAATACGAATGGCAGTATGGTGGACGGTGTCAACAACACGCTTGCTGGATTTGGACGCGCTATCTTACACAAAGCATGCGTAATCCAGTGTGGAGCGGACGAGTGAAGGATATAAAAGCATAAGCGTGCTTCTGTCTGCCCCATATGCTGTGGGAGACACACACTTTAGTACTGATGTGATAATGATGATTGCTTAGATCATTTGACCACCAACTATAGCTTGATAAACGATCTTTCGGTCATGCCTGTTCTCCTGCAATGCATTTATTTGTCAACAAAGGTGGTCCGACGCCCAACCATAGCTCGATAATAAACCGATCGGTTATCTCTACTGCTGCAATTCCTTATTTTGCTTTAAGGTTTGGCCCGAAACTTTTGACAGGATGAATTTAAAGACCAAAGTCCACGTTCGTGCTTGTCGCGCAAGCCCTGGCCCCACCACACGATCGCAAAATTCCAGATGGAAGTAACATTTCGGCGAAAGCTAGCGTGTCGCAACGTTCGACACCGTCCGTTCTGCCCTCTGACGTCACTTGACCTTTAGTGTCCCATGCCACGGGACCGACCGTAGGTTGTCCCTGTCCGAGACAAATAGCGAGCGTCTAAAGCAACTCGAGCCCACCCTACCATGAATGAGTGAATCAGAAGGCAACCACTCTAACAATCTGAACTATCAAAGAGGACAAACAAATCAAGAAATGCTATGATCATTATTGAGATAGCCAAAGAAAAAAGACATAATGAGACAAGCCTCAATTGTCCCATATAAACAAAGCATTCCCAGCAATAACATGAAATGAATTTCTGATTCAACACAATTACAAGGTGCAATAGCTCTCAAATATTTTACAGTAAATATAGCTATGCAATGTTGCAGCAAGGTAGCCAGGGTGCCAGCAACTCAGTGGTCCCACCTAGTGCCTGGGAACCCAAAGGTATGCTGTTTGATCTCCACACTGCCTCTCTCCTCACCAGAGTGAGTCAGTAGCCTCCACCATGCAGCCTAAGCTACTGAGTAAATCATACAGCCCCTCCACCCTAAAAAACAACCATAAGTGCTGTCATTGAACCTCTCCCTGACAACTTCATGAAATGGCAATCTTTTTTAACCTTAACAAGCTGAAACTGAATATGCCCTTTGTTATGAAAGGGAAGCAATCAAGACCTCTAGAAGAACACAAAAAATGTGGATTTTGAGCCTTGTCCATTCCTGGATATATTTCAATAAATGAAATCAGTTCTATTCACAGTTTGGTGCATCATATGCATCACAATATTAATATCAGGACTGAACACTGAAGTTAACAACTGACATAATTAACATTAACATCTCTTATGCTCTTTGCTTCAGGGATGACAAAGCTTTTACACAGGGGCTGGACTTGCACAGGAGGATCACAAAGCATATCATCAAATATATTGTTGACACATTAAAATACCTAACAATGCAGTCTATATTATTGCATGGCTTGAAATATGACATGAGTATCAAAACACCACATCAAGATTAGACCTGGGAGGTGTGAAGCTGTGATCAAAACTGTCTAGGCATCATCCCAGCCTATTAAAAATCAACCTGCTTGATTGCTGTATCTTGAGATTCTCATAAATAACTATTGCAAGATGGGCATGGGTGATTCCAAAGGGTTAAAATGCATCTTGAAACTTTACAATGCCTTTAGCCACTTACTTTTGATGCGGTTCATCTCATCTATGCGACTCTTCATGTGGGCTGAAGAGCTATCACTGTGCAAGCTCATACTGGTGACCAAAGGGTGGGACTTCTGAGCCACCTGACCCTGATGAGCAAGAATCTGAAAGAATAAACCATGGTGCATGAAAAGAAGCCATAAAATAATATATTGCCATACAGCAATGACTGTGTACTGGAAAATTTGGAAAGCAATGCTGATTTCTAGCCTAGATTCCAGACAAACCTCTCCATCCGTTTGCTCAATCCCTATGTCATAGTTCCTGTGACACTGTCCGGAAGACAAAAATGGTATCATTAAAAACCGGCACAAGAAATGCAAAGATTACGCACTGTCAAATAAAACAGCAAAACCCATTGTTAACAATTGTTGTGCCATGCAACCATCACATGACTTGCAGCAAAGGTATACATCAATGAAGACCCTAAATACTGCACACATGCATACATAAAATGCCTTCCCGCCCATTCCACCACATGGATGGAACCATACACCTAAAATCATAACATTACAACATACCTGAGACACATAATAATGCATCATCAGTGGGATGGATATCAGAAGTATGATAAGGATGAATACTAGAGTTGACAGCTTCATGTGAATCAAATAGCTGATTGTCCGAGCAACACATGAATTGTCTTGAGTTCTCTGGTGATGAAATTCATTTGTATACGCCATCTCGGTGAGGCTCATGGCAGGATGCTTTGCGGCTTTTCTTGAAAACTATTTGTCACATCTTGCTTAAACCACAACCACACAACCGCTTACATAAAGATATCTAACATCAGCAACCACCTAAGAAGCCGTCACAACGGACATATATGCCACCCCGGAACAACACACCATCTCATGCAAAGCCACAAGTCTGGTCCTTAGTCAATAAGGAGGGCTTGTTTGGGTTACATCCTTGATTTACATTGGTTACAGCTAAAAAAATAACTACTGGAGTACTGGGCAAATAAGTCAGTTATTGCCTACTATACACCAAGTATATATTTTAATTTCAAGGTTAAAATGTATCCTCTAGCTTGCCATATGATAAGCTTATATAAAAAAATTATGTTGCCGCCAGGCTTACATGTGATTTAAGCTGGACCATATCAGAAAAGAAGCTAGAATTTTAAGACCATTCTGGCGCTTGGTAGCTTGTTTTTGGCGCTCATGTAGTATTTCTATGTGGGTTGGCCGCAGCGTTTTCATGCGGACAATTTCCGCTGGGGCTTTGTGTCGGGATGTCTTGAGCCAACCCATATCAAGGGTCCTGACGAATTAGGATTTCACTTAAATTTTGTAGCATGAATATATGCACTGAATAACACCAATTGGGTATCAAAAGGTGAGTGGCAATTTACGCCCCTCAGATTAGTAAGATACCTACTCTGTGCCGTCAGTCGCTTCTCGAGGCTCGCAACTTGCTGTCCTGTTGGCGCACCCTGGGGCTCAGCATGGTTCATCGATGTGTCAATTGCTGAATTGTTGATGAACATCATCTTTTGTGAAGGATGTGTATTTCCCATTAGATATTTATGTGACTCCAGCTGGATATCAAAAGGTGATTGATGGTTTGTGCTATTTAAATAGCTGAGATACCTTCTTGGTGCAGCCATTTACTAGCGAAATGGGTGCCTTAGACTTCCAATTGCATTCCTGTCAATGCACTTTTAAGCTCCTCAGTTCTTTTTCCTCAATTTCTTCAGGATTCCTCAATCAGTCAATTCCTTTTCAATTCCAAATTCAATCAATCAATGAATTCCTCAGGAACACAGTTCCTCAGTGTGTTAAGTGCAGGATTGATGGTAGCATCCTCTTGTTTAATAGAGTACTGGAAGACTATGTTGTGATCAGAATCAAATATGTTGAAGCACCTAAACAGCAGCATTTTGCTTGATTAATGGTCCATATGCCTATAATAAACCTACTGCATGCAGGAATCAAAAGTAACAAGTTAGGGAGAGGCTGCAGACATCATGCATGTGAACCTTTGCATGGGATAGCTATATATGCATCTATGATCTACAGCTATGTCATTCTCAGTTTACTTGTGTTTCTAATGGTGTCTAGTAATTCCAAACAAATGACTTAATGATAATGCTCCACATTAGTATGACTGTGGGTAAATTTTCAAATGTCATGTGTGTTGAGAATCCATGCAGAATATAAACTGTCCCATGCTTTTCCACCACTGGATTTCCATGGAGCATTCAGAATCTACTGTGATTTATTGGCGTATCAGTATTCTTATTTTATATCAGCCCAACATCTGCCAAAAAAATAACAACACCACAGAACCATATGCCATAAAAACATAAGGCACTTTACTGCCACAGGTCAATTTAACTTTCAGTTGAGATCATTTTGGTTTATCTTACATTTTTTCTATTATAACTCAAAATGTATCTTGCCTACTTTTGTTTGATGGGAAAAATTTGTCAGCCTTGTTAGAACACTGGTGGAACCACCTTGGTGTTGGTATAACCACTGTGGCACTGTGGCACTTGTTTATGAGCCAGCCACCCAAAAAAAGAATCCAGAATTATTTTTCTTGGCCTACTTTTGTGTCATTTGTGGGCTCTGAACTTCCAGGTACTCATATGTGTGTTGTGCTTTAGCCAGTTGCATATCTTGGGCATCAGGACCATCAACCTATTCAATCACTTGGTAAGCCAAGATCAGATTCTTGGGTTGTTATAAGGTTTTTGTCTTGGAAAATTTGTTCTAAAAAAACAATATTGGATTTTGTGACATGGATCTGTCTTGGAATGTAAAGTACAAACCAATAAAACAGTCTGTGAGGCTTGCACCACACCCCGATTTCACCCAGCTAGTGATCCTTTGCTAGCACCTCCACTCTGTACTGCTGAACATTGCAGTGGTGGATCCAAAGCCAGAACACAGACTAATGAATATTAATATGTTTGTATGTTTATTAAGCAGAATGTGAGCTAGTTTGGGTTTAGAAATGGACTGTGCATATCTGGAAAATGCTGGAATGTGGATTGGTGCCTGTAGCAGTGGATCAGCTGGTTATTATTGGGTGATGCATGTCAATAATGTCAGTTTGTTTGCCATACAATGTGCAGTATCATAATAACAACTTTATTCTCAGTCAAGAATAGGGTTTGTAACTGTAGACATATCTGTGCAGGTTCTCTCAGTTGGGGCCCTTATAAGATATTGTATCCTGATCAACTTGGGTTACAAGAATAACAATTCTGATATGACAGCCACCTGTGCACTATTCAAGTCATTGATCAGAGTCATATATACTAAGTGGTGATGGCATTAAAGCAGGTGATCTTGTCATCACTGGGAGGGGTTTGTGTTTAGTTCATGTTCATAAGTGGTGATGGTATAAAGGCAGCTGATCTTGTCATCACTGGGAGGAGTTTGTGTTTACTTCATGTTTATCATTTTCATATGCTCACTTGCTCATCATTTTCATATGTGTATATGCATCATTCTTCATCAGACTATATAATCCATCCAAAACAGCCAAACAGCCATGCATGATGTACATTCCAGTGCCCGAAGACCACAGCTATTTTTTATAGCAATGCATGTCATTGAACATTGCTGATGTCTACTTGCTGGTGATGTTTCACTCTGTACTGTGTGGGACTGGCACCATTCAGTGCTAATATTGATTGTCACCACGTGACACTTGACCGTGTGTGACAGACACCATGTGGCATTAATGTGTGTGATCACCATGTGTGACCATGACCACATTATGTTATGTCATGGGTGACCATCAGCACATGTTGCATGGGTATGTGTTACCACTACAGCTTGCATCTAACCATGTTTGACCATCTCAACTGTCACCTGACTATGTGTAGCCATCACATCTGTCACCTGACATTGGGTGACCTTATCTGCCACCTGACTTAATGTGACCTAATCTGCTGCCTGACCTTGTGTGACCATCACATCTGCCACCATATGTTGTGTGATTTCATCTGCCACCTGACCTTGTGTGACATTATCTGTCACCCAACCTTATGTGACCCCATCTGCCACCTGATGTTGTGTGGCATTATCTGTCACCCAACCTTGTGTGACCCCATCTGCCACCTGATGTTGTGTGGCCATCACATGTGCCCAGCTGAGCCAGCCTGGGGCCCCAGCAGGCGGGCGGACGCCATGAGCAGCATGCCGTCGCGCGGTGGCGGGCCGCCGGCCGTCTCCGCCGAGCCCCTCGACGACCCGGGCCTCATGTTTCCCGCCGCCTGGAGCAGGCCGACACGGACGAGGCCAGCAGATCAAGGAGCTCTTCCGCGAGAAACCTGCGCGGTCTGAGCGGTACGTGCTGGCCGCCCGGCTGCCCGGCTGCCCGGCCGACATCAGGGCTGATGTGGGGCCGTGTCTGTTCCCTGTTCGTTCTAGGGGTAGGGAGGGAAGCGGGAAGTAGGGAGGAAGGGAGGAGGGAGGGATGGAGAGGGAGGAGGGTAGGAGGGAGTGAGGGAGGGAGCGACGGTGGGGTTGTGTAGAAGGCGGCCTTTTGCTGGGGGTACATCGCAATTATTATTGGTGTCTTGCTTGCCAACCTCCACTATTCGGGCTAATCAGGGACGAGCAAAATGGCCAGTACACATTAGGGGTGCAACAATGTGTCCAACGTGGGGGCGAATTCGGGTCATTTTACTATCGCGCTACTGTACGCAACATTTGAGAGAAAACCGTGGGTTGGGGCGAATCTCAGTAGAAAAGGGAGTTGTTTGTACAGCATAACTTGCAACCTCTTATGTCGCTAGTATCGTCGGCAAGTTTTGGTTTTGTACCGCCACTACTCCGTCGTGACCTGCCAGCAGTCCAGAACGGCCCCGCTCTGTCTCCGCCCCTGCTCTGGCCACCCACGTCCGTGGATGTGGTTGAAGTCGAGTCTCATCCCACTTGAACGATACTGACCTGCGGTCCCCCAGGGGAGGCCTGGCTGCTCAACGGCTGATAGACGATACGTCTGCACTGGCTCGGCACGCGGCCTGGACGATCCTACTGTCGTGCGGCGGACGGCAACTCGCCGCGCCCTCAGCGACAGGTCGGTCACGGCTGGCCGGCGCCCGCGCTCAGCACCAGTTCGGGCTACGGATTTGATGTGACCCGGTGTGGGGAGTGCGCCAGTTGGTGACAGTGTCTTCCAGTAGCTGAGATGTGCGTTTGGGCCCGCACCTCGCGAAAATTCTATCTTTCTCTAGACAAGCTCTGTAAATGGCCACACTGTTGCCTTTCAAGATATGAGTTTGCTTCCGCAGCCATCATACGCTCTAAATCTAGCGACTCTTAATGGTTCGCTGGCCGATCTTAAATCTAGGTTGGGACTCGTGGTCAGCTTGCTTATTTGAAGTCCAAGGGTGTACCGGGCTTTGCACAGAGATGACGTCAGCCCCTACTGCACGTTGCATCCCCGATGCAATGTCTCTTGAAACACTTCACTGGCAGCACGCTGTACAAGAGGAATGAAAGCATCACATGCACTACCCATTGGCGCCATATCCCTGTCACATACCCCCCCCCCCCTTTCCCCCACAGTTGTGCACCACTCTACCCGTAACCTGACGTCTTTCCCATAGACCACACCGTCAGGTTCCGTCTGCTGGCGGTACGCACATGTCACCCCACACCAGCAGCTGTACCCCTGGTGGCCCTGCGGCACAGGATCTTGCTCGCACTGCGCGTGCGCCGCCTGACCGGGCATCTGTCCGGTAGACTGCACCAACTGCTTAAGTCGACGGACCAGCGGGGGGCTGGCCTCCGCCTGCTGGGATACTACGTCCGCAAACATCCCGTCTGGCTCCGCAA